GGAAGAGGCAATGAATGAGGAAATGGCTTCTCTGATGAAGAACAAAACCTGGGAACTTGTAGATCGACCAAAGAACAAACGAGTGGTTGGTTGCAAGCGGATCTTTAAGAAAAAAAAGGCACGCCAGGTATTGACAGGATCAGATACAAAGCCAGACTCGTTGCAAAGGGATTCACTCAGGTAGAAGGAATCGACTTCAACGAAATATTCTCGCTCGTCGTGAAGCACTGCTCCATTAGGATAGTCTTAGCACTAGCGTTTCAATTCAATTTGGAATTATAGCAGCTAGATGTTAAGACTGCGTTCCAGCATGGAGAGCTTGAAGAAACCATCTACATGGATCAGCCAGATGGGTACTGCACACCTGAGACAAAGGACAAAGTTTGCTTGCTGAAGAAAGCTTTGTATGGACTGAAACAAAGCCCCAGACAATGGTACAAACGATTTGATGAGTTCATGCTACGGATCGGATTTGTCAGATGCAGCTACGACAGTTGCGTGTACATGAAGTGTCAAGACGGTGAAATAAGTACCTACTTGCTTCTTTATGTGGATGATATGTTAGTAGCCAGCAGAAGCAAGGAGGAAATCCAGAAGATCAAAGGTATGCTAAATTCTGAATTTGACATGAAGGACCTAGGACCTGCTGCAAAGATCCTAGGGATGGAGATTACTAGAGATAGGAAAAATGACACCTTATTCTTATCTCAAAAGTCAAATATTCAGAAGGTTCTAGCAAGGTTCAATGTGCATGAGGCTAAGCAGGTTGCAACACCCATTGACCAACACTTCAGATTGTCAAACTCTCAAGCACCGGAGACTGAAGAAGAGAAAAGGTACATGGAGGGTGTCCCTTATGCCAACGGGGTTGGTAGCATCATGTATGGGATGATCTGCAGCAGACCAGATTTGGCCTACGCCGTTAGCATTGTAAGCAGGTTCATGGCAAACCCAGAACAGACTCACTGGGAAGCACTAAAATAGATCTTGAGGTACCTGAGAGGCACTACAAACCTGGGTCTACTCTTCAAAAGGCAGGAAGACAAAGAAGAAAAGGTAGTTGGTTACGTGGACTCAGATTATGCAGGAAGCATTGACACCAGGAAGTCACTGACCGGATTCATTTTCACTGTTTTCGGTACTGCAGTCAGTGGGAAGTATACCCTCCAATCCGTTGTGGCCCTCTC